GAGTTAAAAAACGTTCCCTGGACAGAACTGTTAGAAATCCTTACTAACCACTATTCTCCTAGACCCTCACAGATTGCCAGGCGGTTCACCTTCCGAATGAGGAAGCAATCAGACAAAGAGACCATCAACCAGTACATGGCTGCCCTCAGGACTGCAGCACTCCATTGTGGGTTTGGGACCTACCTGGATGACATGCTCCTCGATCAGCTAGTCTGCGGAGTCAAGGATCTTCACCTCCAAAGGCGCCTACTCGCTAGGAAGGACCTCAACCTCGCGCAAGCCATCGAGGAAGCCCTGGCAGCGGAGCTGGCAGCACAATCAGCCACCGAAATCCAAGGCCCTGTTTCCAAGCAAATTGCAGTTTCAGTCCACTCTGAAGAGGTGGTCATCGAAGAGGACCCCAGCGATGCGGCCGACATCCACCGCCTCGCCCACGCCAGACACCCGCAGGTAGGAGCCAAGCAAGAAAGCATCAGCCCACCCAAGCACATCACCCTGTGCCTATCCTGTGGTGGATCTCACCTGAGGGCCACCTGCAAATTCAAGGGAGCCACCTGCAACATTTGCCACAAAAAGGGGCACATCGCTACAGTCTGTCAAGCCGCTCACAACTCGGCACAAAGGCACCCTTCCTTTTCACATTCTGGACCCCAAAGGCAAGTATTGAACTGTCGCACTCGCCACCATGCTAAGCACGCTTGCCATGCCATTAGTAAAATCTCTCTCTCCGTTTTGTTAGAAGGTAAACCTTGTTGCATGGAGGTTGACACGGGGTCAGCGCTCTCAATTATCTCTTGGAGCACCCTCAAGAGACTACAGCCCAGCCTATCCAGAAACCGGCTTCAGAAGTGCCAGTTTAGCCTGAAGGACTACCAGGGGAAGGACATTCCTGTAATCGGCAGAGGCAAGTTTCTTGTTAATTTTAAAACTTTCAAAGGCCACCTACCTCTAGTGGTAGTTAACGGAAATCTCCCCACACTCTTGGGGCTTGATTGGTTTCCCCATCTCGGCCTAGGGTTAACAGGAGTCCATGCTGTCTCAACCTCTGACACTGACTCCTTATTCGCTGACTACTCAGACGTATTCAGCGATGAACTGGGGTGTTATAACGGTACCCCTATCTCATTCTCAGTCGACCCCCAAGCAGTCCCAATCAGGCTAAAACCACGTAGAGTCCCATTCGCTATTCGGCCTAAATTAGATGCAGAATTGGATAAATTATTAAAACAAGGGGTCATTGAGCCAACAGATTTCGCCAAATGGGAGACGCCCATTGTCACACCCCTCAAAAAAGACGGTAGCCTGAGAATTTGCTCGGACTACAAAACCACAATTAATAAGTTTTTACAAGTTAGCGCTTACCCAGTGCCCGTCATTCAGCATTTATTACACACTTTTGAACCTGGCAGCATTTTTGCCAAATTGGACATGTCTCAAGCATATCAACAGTTCCCTGTTGACAACCATACAGCGGAACTCCAGACCATTGTCACTCACAGGGGTGCTTTCCGGTGCAAGCGTCTCCAATTTGGCGTAAGTGTTGCCCCAGGCATTTTTCAATCCCTCATGGAGCGGATTTTGCAGGGCCTCCCTGGTGTAGTACCCTACTTCGACGACATCTTAGTCTCGGCCAGGGACAGACCCCAACTCTTCCAGAGAGTTCGAGCAGTGTTAGAGAGGTTCAGACAGCATGGCCTCAAATTAAAAAAAGAAAAATGTGCCATTGCCACTAGACAGGTGGACTTTCTGGGTTATAAAATTGACGCCTCAGGCATTCACCCCCTGGAGTCCAAGGTTAAGGCAATTCACGAGGCACCCACTCCAACCTCCAAAGCGGAACTGCAGGACTTCTTGGGGCTATTGAATTTTTACGCGTCTTTCCTGCCCCATAAAGCATCTGTGGCGGAACCCCTGCACAGACTTTTGGATAAAAAATCGTCTTGGCATTGGGGACACAAGGAAGACTCCGCTTTTCGCGCAGTCAAATCACTACTCACGTCGGAGGCGGTCCTTATTCAGTTTGACCCCAACCTTCCATTAGTGCTAGCAGCGGACGCATCCCCTTTTGGAATTGGAGCAGTGTTAAGCCACAGGCTCCCCAATGGCTCCGAGGCCCCCATCGCTTTTTTTTCCAGGACGCTCTCTGCAACAGAGCGCAATTATAGTCAAATCGACAAGGAAGCTTTAGCAGCTGTCGCAGCTGTGAAGAAATTTCATGAATTTCTTTTTGGCCACTTTTTCGAGCTGGTCACGGATCATAAGCCTCTCCTGGGTCTACTAGCAGGTGACAAACAGACCCCTCAAGTCCTGTCTCCTAGAATGATGAGGTGGACTCTTTTCCTAGCGGTATACTCGTATAGACTCATACACCGTCCAGGTAAAACATTGTCCCACGCAGACGCCCTCAGCCGCTGCCCCCTGCCTGCTCCAGCTGAGGATCCTGCCCCGGTCCATGCTATCTTTGAGGTCACCCAACTGGACCTCCCCATCACTGCCATTGACATTGCCGCCAAATCCAAGGCAGACAAAACGATCGCCCAGGTACTGGACTGGGTGAGGAGGGGGTGGCCGGGCAGTGATGTTGAAACCAAATTCACGCCTTTTAAGACCCGCCTACAGGAGTTATCCAGTTTGCAGGGCTGTTTGCTGTGGGGCACACGAGTGGTCATCCCGACCTCACTGCGTACCCGAGTTTTGGAGGCGTTGCATGAGGGCCACCCTGGCATCGTCAGGATGAAGGCATTAGCACGCAGCTACGTATGGTGGCCTGGCCTCGACGATGACATCATCAGATGGGTAAGCTCCTGCCATTCCTGCCAGGAATCCTGTCCATCCCCTCCAATTGCCACACCCACTAAGTGGGAAAGCGCCAGCGCACCTTGGTCCAGGATTCACATCGACCTAGCGGGCCCGATGCACGGCAAAATGTTCCTGGTGGTCGTGGACTCTTACTCTAAATGGATTGACGTAGCACAACTATCCACAACCACCACGCAAGCGGTCACCAAGGTATTAACTCGCCTGTTCGTAACGCACGGGCTACCAGACTCAATTGTTTCCGACAATGGCCCCCAGTTCGCATCAGCCGAGTTCAGTCGCTTCGCTGCCAATCTGGGCATCCGCCACATTTTCACAGCCCCCTTTCATCCTGCCAGTAACGGACTGGCAGAGAGAGCCGTTAGGACCACTAAAGAAGCTCTAGCTAGGTTCAGAAAGGAAGACTGGCACCACAGACTCTCCCGTTTCTTGCTGAGCCAGCACTCAACCCCGTGCACAGTCACTAATAAGTCCCCGGCTGAACTCCTGATGGGTAGACGCCTGCGGACTGTATTGGACAGGCTTCACCCACATTACTGCCCTGACTCTCCCCTCGCTTCCACATCGGGGGTTAGGCATTTTGTCTTACAGGAAACCGTGTTCGCGAGGAACTTCGCTGGAGACCCTCTGTGGATCCCGGGTGAGATCGTGGCCATCACCGGACCCAGGTCGTATCGAGTCAGACTGGAGGATGGCCGAATCTGGAGAAGGCACCTGGATCAGCTGCGGAAGCGCCAAGGCACTCATGTTAGCAGTGACTCTTGGTTGCAGACCGGTGCGAGGCTACAGCAGCAACCCCTCATCAGCACCAATTCCGGTGACCAGTTTATGCCTGCAGCCGAGCTGGGGAGCCCGAACACGAACCGTGACCACCAGACGGCTGACCAGTCCGAACCAGTCAACGGGAGCACATCCCCAGTGACCAACCCTACGAGTCCCGAACCGACACTGACCGAGGAACGCGTTCGTGACACCCCACCGGTCCAACCTTCCTTTGCAGACTCTGAACTACCAGACAACTCCCCAGAATTGCGCCGTTCTGGGCGCCAGCACAAGCCTCCCGCATACCTTAAAGACTATGCGTGTTCGCATCTGGGGGGAAGGGGTGTTATGTCCCTGGAACTTAAAGAAGTTCCCACCCAGGTCCGTTCGCACTGCGGGGGCGGTTGCCCTCTCTCATTGGCTGGTTCTCCCCAGCAGCCAGCTATAAAAGCAGGCTGCGGGGTCCAACCGGTCGCTGATCGCTGCGAGCCAGTTCCAGGCTTGACAAGCACGTTCAGTCCTTTATTATCCAAATAAAGTATTGTTGCACCCATGCCCTGGTTCAGCCTCTCATTACCCGAACTTAACAGGAACAGCTTGCCTTCAGACATTGTGGGTGTTTCATCCCTGGAGGTTTTTAAGAAAAGACTTGACAAGTCTCTTCTTAAATTATATAGTACAGTGATGGCGAACCTTTTTGTTGTGGTGTGCCAAAAGCATTAGCCAAGAGCAAATTAGCCAAAAGCAAGGTATTTCCGGAAGGCCCGTTTTTCAGCCTCCTGAGGCTGCAGAGGCTTCCCTCGAGCCTCCAGGAGGGCGAAAAAGACATCAAATGGGCCAAAAATCAGCTGGGAGGAGCGCGCATGCGCAGTGCAGGTAAGTTTGGCTGGGTCTCCCGTGCCTGCACAAATGGCTCTGAGTGCCATAGGTTCGCCATGACAGATATAGTATCATGGAAATGATATAGTATCTTGTGCTTGAGCAAGGGGTTGGACTAGTCCAGTGGTGGGATTCAAAAATTTTTACTACCAGTTCTGTGGGCGTGGCTTGGTAGGTGTGGTGTGGCTTGGTGGGCGTGGCAGGGGAAGGATACTGCAAAATCCCATTCCCTCCTGACCCCACTAACCTGCTTTCCAGCTCCGTTCTCCTGTGCAGGCCAACAAAAGACCCAGCGGATCAGCTGGGACTCGGGAGGGAGAGAATAGATGGGGGCGGGGCCAGTCAGAGGTGGTATTTGCCGGTTCTTCGAACTACTCAAAATTTCTGCTACCGGTTCTCCAGAACTGGTCAGAACCTGCTGAATACCACCTCTGGACTAGTCACTAGAAGACCTCCAAGATGCCTTCCAGCTCTATTCTGATTGATGGATTGAATTGAGGATATAGGACTCACTTCACAGGGCCTGCCTCCCCGAGTCTTACCTTTCTTGAGGCAGTACTGGTTTTTGCTATTGATGATGAGGGATCCCTCTCAGAACTCAATGCCCATGGCAAACCAAGGGAAGAAAAAAGGATTGAGTTCTCCGAAGCACACTACAGATCTACGCTTAACTCTCTGAAGTTCCTCATGAGGAAAAGCTGGTTACCCTAAGTTCTTGGTGATTTTGCTCAAGAGCTCCGGTTTCTGCTTCTTCACCATATCCATGACAGCAGCGTAGACCTCACACGGTTTTGCACCTAATGCCAACAGGAAGCAGATCAGAGGACCAGAGGGAGGCCCCACCTGAGAGGAGAAACTGCTCTTTTTGGCAAGATGTGTGGGTCCAGCTCTTTCCCACTCACCGTGCCGCAATTCCTTCAGCATTTCCTCCTGCAGTTGCAGCAGGAAAGCATAGTTGTCCTGGGTTTCCTGAGGTGGGTCCACCATGAGTGTGCGCACCAGATTGGAGCAGTATGATTTGTAACATATGCCCATGGCACAAGTGACAGTCCCAAAGTGTATGTAGCTCTTCTCGCTGAGGGCAGAGAGGCCAAGATTAGAAACAGGACACAGAATTTGAACCTTTAAAAATCTCCTTCTGACAATTTACATTGCTCTTGAATTTCATGGAAGGAGCAATCCCGAAGGTGCTTTTTCAAGAGGCAACCGGACTTTTGTTTTTCCTTGAAAAGGTTTCGCTTCTCATCCAAGAAGCTTCTTCAGTTCTGACCTGTCACTGTGGTTTGTGACCTGTCAGAGCTGAAGAAGCTTCTTGGATGAGAAGCGAAACGTCTTCAAAGTCAAACCAGAAAGTCCAGTTGCCTCTTGAAAAAAGCACCTTTGGGATAACCATGACCTGGATGACTGAGAATCTCCATAGACATTTGTGGAAGGAGCAAATCGAAACATGGCATGAGTAAATAAAAGCCAATCCAATGAAAGTATTTATAACTTCTACGTTCTGTCTTCCCATTCTGTGTGGAAGAGGAATATAGACTGTAGAATTACTCCTGTTATAATTATGCACATTATAATTATAATTTCTATGTTCCGTCTTCCCATTCTGTGTGGAAGAGGAATATAGACTGTATAATTCCTCTTATAATTATGCACATCAGATTTGTGAACAGGGTTCATTTTAATGGCAAACCAGGACCTGTTAGTGATTGGTTACAAAGTACTAACAAAACACAGTGATAGGTGTTCCATTACTGTGAGCTTTCAAAAAGAAACTAGACAACCATTTATCTGAAAGGGTATTGGATTTCCTGCTTCAGCAGGGGGTTGGACTAGAAGACCTCCAATGTCCCTTCCAACTCTTATTATTCTACATTCTAAATCTGTTTGCATATGATTTCATTCAGAAGACATGAGGGTTAACTCCACAAACTTCATTTACACATTGACCCGACAACAGAATAATTGAACTCCTAGGAAAAGCGATTTTTTATACACATTTGCCTACCTGACAACACTGAACTTGAGATTGTAAGTTCCTCCACTTTGGATAACACATCTCCACAATGAAAGGGTCAGCTCCAGAGAGATATTTCTTCTCCTCAATGGCTTTCTCGACAGACTCGGCCAGCTTGCTGTGCCGTACCTTCTGTCAGATGATGAAAACTAGGTGGTCATTGAACATTGGAGGAAAATCCCCCACAAATTATACTTGAAGAAGGGGCTGCTTGACAGAGGCTGCGATGCACCCAATGGACTTGGGAAAGACTGGTCCACAAAACTGCCAGGCTTTTGGCCAATATTTGTCAGACAGGCATAGCAAATCAGAGAGCAGTGAGAAAACCTCTGAACTTAAAAATATCAACTCTTTCTCTTACCCCTTAAAAGAAAATGCAACCAGCACAGTCCTGTGTAATTTTGTTAGCCCTGTTGGAAAAATCAGGACAGCCGTGATGCCCCAGTAGGACACCCCAGGTTAAAAGAACCAAGTTATGTATGGATGAAGCATCGGCATGGCATCGGGCCCAATTTGAGAGAAGGAAGCAGAAGGGCAAGCTAGTCCACCAGGGAGCCATGGTGGTGCAGTTCTTAGAAGGCATCCCAAAGTTACTTTTTTCAAGAGCCAACTGGACTTTCTGTTTTTTCTTTGAAGACGTTTCGCTTCTCATTCAAGAAGCTTCTTCAGCTCTGACTGGATGGTGGGAAATGGAAGGATCTTCACTGTTAAAGACAGGTGCAGACAGGATTTCCAGAAAAAAATCCAGACTACAGGAACCATTTGCACTTCAGTTTGAGATGCAGACACACGGACTCATTCCCGACAGCCTGCGTCTGTCTTCAACAGTGAAGGGGACACAGGGCAGAAAATATCCTGCAGCTAAGAAGGTTCCACGCCCATTTGCACTACTCAGGTGACCCTGAGGAGACAAATAAACATTCAAGTGGCCTCAACTGCTCTCTAAAAGGATGAAAATGACCAACTGTCTAGAAGGAGTATAAATTCCAGTCAGAGCTGAAGAAGCTTCTTGGATGAGAAGCAAAATGTCTTCAAAGAAAAAAACCAGAAAGTCCAGTTGCCTCTTGAAAAAAGCACCTTTGGGACAACCATGACCTTGATGACTAAGAATCTCCACTAGACATTCTTAGAAGGTAGTACTGCAGGCTGATTCTGCTCACTGCCAAGTTAGATCTTGACCGGTTCAAGGTTGAACTCAGCCTTCCATCTTTCTGAGGTCGATAAAAATGAAGATCCAGGTTGTTGGGGGCAATACGCCGACTCTGTAAGCCACTCAGAAAGCATTATGAAACGGTTATTTATTTCTAAGTACTAAATGCTATTGCTAGTTAATGGCCACACTACGTGGGAAAACAGCTAAAGAACAATGCTTAGATCCAAGGAGGAAAAATGACCTTCATAAAATGTAAAAACCTCATCTCCTACTTTCCAGAAGGCCACAATATTCCATTTCACCCAGAAGCCATTAGTGACCAGATTTCTCCCCTTACCTCATCAGCGTCCACAATCTCCATGACTCGCTCCTTCAAGAACTTGGTGAAGACCTCTGAGGTGATGGCAGCCACTTTTCGCATCAGGCTGAGTTCCCCATCCTCTTTGACCGCCATGGTGTAGGCCACCATGGCGCTGATGTCCACCTGCAGCAGTGTTCGGGGAAGGTGAGTAAAGGCCCCATATTCCCCGAGCCGCAGTACTCTGTCACTCCAAGTGCAGGGGTCGGATTCCACCTGGTTGGACCAGTTCTATGATTCTGAGCAGTTTGGAGAACTGGCAAATCGCGCCACTGGCTGGCCCCACCCACTCATTCCTTACCTGGTATGCGTGCCATCAAATTTGCCTGTATTTGGTAAGTTGCTATTTTTCCTTTTTTTCCCTGACCATCAGCTGTTCTGCTGTGCTGGGAGATTTAGATTAGCTAGAAAGCAAGAAATCGTTGGATTTCTTGCTTTCTAGCTAATCTAAAAGCAGAGCTGAACCTTCCTTAAGACTGAAGCTTCTATTTTTCAGTGCAGACTCAGGTAGCAGATTGCAGAAAGATAGATCTCTGAGTAAATCTGTGATTCTGTGAGCAACTCAATCTGCCTGCCTGCTTTGCCTGATTTTGGGTAAAAGTTGCTCTTTTTTTTAAATAAAAAATTCAATATTTACATAAATATTTATATTTACATACAAGCCATGCCCAGCCAGTCACATGACCACCAAGCCACACCCACAAATTAGGCCATGCCCACAGAACCAGTTAAGAAATTTGAATCCCACCCCTGCCTGAGTGCCTGTTCTCCTCACCTTCTCAAAGCCTTCCTTGCTGAGAGCGTCGTTCCAGCTGTTCATGAATTCACCAGGAAATTTGTCTTTGCTGAAGACCCCAAGGCGCTTGCCGTTCTTGCTGTTCTTCAGCGCATCGATCATCTTGTCAAAGTTGGCCTTGTTGCTTTCGTTCTAGAGCGGTGGGGGGCAGAAGAAATCAGAACTGAGTGAGAAAGTTTCTAAGCCCCCTCTGAAAATTTCAACCCTCCAAACTTTAATTTTATTCCATACGGTACGCCAGGGATGGACCAACTGGGATGCCATGCCCACTTTTTGCGTCCCTGAAAATCCCTCCAACTAATAGAATAATAGAATTAGGGAGCTGGAAGGGACCTTCGAGGTCTTCTAGTCCAGCCCCCTGCTCAAGCAGGAGAACCTATACTATTGCAAATAAGTGATTGTCTAGACCAGGGGTGTCAAACTCAAGGCCTGCGGGGCTGGCCTGGAAATAACAAAGGACTGGCCCGTGGTGCCTCTGCGACCGAAAATGGGACGTTTTGGCTGCCAGAGTGCTGCAGGAGGCCATCCTTGACTCAGAAGGTTTTAAAAGGGAGGAAAGGCAAAATATTTTACTTTTCAGGCTTGCAGGATTCTGCTACTAGAGGCTATGTCAATAATTTATAGTTCTAGTCTTCCTATGGAGTCAGTTTCTTTTTTTTTGTAACAAATTTTATTAATTTTCAAAGAGAATACACAGACAAACAAAACATAAAACATAAGAACATAGAACATCTTTTCTAAAAACTGCTTAACAAAACAAATAAGACATCTCATTTAAGTAAAACATAGTTCTAAATTATCACGTTTCCACACACAATTTAATATGCATCTTATATATTCAACTTCATATCTTATTACTCTTTTCCAACTTCTCACTGTTTCTTCCTTTATTTCTGTTCAATTTTATTCATTAAACTTATACTTTCATGTATTTCATATTACTATATTTCATATTATTACTATTTCATATGTTCTTATCCAACATCATTAATCCTCAATAAACAAACAAACATAAGCTAACAAAATACATAACATAAAAACATAAAACTTCTTTTTAGAAAGCGGCTTAACCCCGGGTTATAACTTTTTGTACAGACATAAATCAAATTCATGCTCACCTTATATACTATTTCATATCTTATTTAACATTCTATATTTTCCATATATCTTCTCCCCTCTTTTCACTCTCTTAATTCTATTTTATTTATTTAATCTCTATTTAAATCATTATACTTGTATCTTTTGTCCGTTCTTTTTCAATTATCCATTTATCTTTCTCTTTAACACAAACTTTTTCCTGTAATCACTGGTTGAAGTATGACACCTTTCTATTTTCCCCCCAAATTTAACACTTAAAATAATACATAGTTTCTATTCTGATTCTGCTTAGTACATTCTATATAACATTTTAAAATATAAAACATAATGATCTTATAGTATATTAAAAATAATGTTCCATAACAAATTAGTTAATTAAACTAATTACACATTAATTACACATTCCCTACAATATTCTATTAACACATATTTCAAATACAAATACTAGAATACAATCTTGTGTACTTTTGCAGAATCTCTTTTTAGATTATGTTTTACCCTTTATCTCTGAAAAAACCCTGTTTATTAGCATCTTGTTTTAAGCCTTTATAACTTCCCTTCACTTTTTCCCTTCCTTCCTTGTCAAATCTAACCTTTTTCCCCCCCCCCCCCCCCCCAGTCTCCAGCCTTTTAGTCTCCCCTCTCTGGTGTATTCCTCTTTTCTGTTGCTTTCTGACATTATATCGATTTTTCACCTTACTTTTCCCTTTCTTGGTTGTTTGTTTAGAACTTAAATTCTTCATTTTCTTCTCATTTTTACCCTTTTCTTTCTCATTTAAAGTCATATGTCCATTAAAGATGGCTTCTTCTTCATCATCCCAGCCTTTTTCTTGTTGCATTTCCTGATAAGTAGAAATCGCCATTTCTAAAAAGCAAAGGATAGATCCAAAAGAACCCTTGCCTTCTTCCTCTTCTCTTAATTTTTCAAATTGCATTTTCAGTTCTTCAACAGATACCATTGTGAAAAAAAAATTTAAACAATCCAAATGTTTTCTTAGTCTTTCAAAAGATAGTTAAAGTCCCAAAGTCATCAGGCAATCAAAGTCAGCCCAATCAGCACAGTCTGTTTCACTTTCTTCAACTTTCTCTTCCTGGGGTAGAATTCAATTACACAATTCCAAGGTATTTTTTGGAAGTTTTATTGCGATTTAATCTCTAATCTTATAAAACTCCAAGCAGTTTCCTTCAACAAATGTTAGTATAAATCATTTGCCTCTCTTCCTTCCCACTTAAAGCAAAAAGATTTTAATTTTTAAATGTCAGTGTTTAGAAATTTAATGTCCCCTTGGCTTTAATTTTCAAAGTTAGTACCTTCTGCTGCCAAAGCGGGTATTTCCGATTTCCATTATGGAGTCAGTTTCTTGATCTGGTCTCTCTCTCTCATAGGGTGATCAAGAATGTATTAAAAAAATAAAATCACAAAAACATACGCCTATTTTTATAAGTGTATAAAACCATATGTGCAGAGGTGCCACGCCCCCTGTCAATGCCCATGATCACAACTGTTCCATGCTAGCAGGCTTGTAGGCCTGCATTCCTATTGGTCCGGAAAAGCCGGGCCGTGATTGGACAAAATTAAGCGTTCTGATTGGTTCTTATTCGGCTGCCGCGATTGGGTAAAACCAAGCGCGGCAAGCTCAAATGCATGTCATAGGCTGCCTAGCTGCAGCCAGCTCTATAAAAGGAGCTGCCTTGGCTGGGAGTCTTGTCTCAGTATCTGGTTTTCCTAATAAAGAGCTCTTGTCACTACTTCGAGTCTCGTCTCTCCTTGGGACCCACCGCCCAGACTTAACACTGGCGACGAGGATGGGATACTGAGACAACAGAGCTGACTAGCACGTGGCAGAGAGCGCATAGACGACCTGCAAGATGGCCAGCAGCGCCGTGCCACCCGCACCATTTAATCCGGCCAGCGAGGACTGGGAGTCCTACATTGATCGTTTCCAAATGTTCTTGGAATCAAACAACCTGAAGGATGCCACCAGCAGCAAGAAGCAAGCGGTTTTTCTAACACACTGCAGACCCGCCGTTTTTAAAATGGCCAAGGCGCTCGCGAAGCCAACAGACGTCAAGACCATGGATTGGGATACCCTAGCTCCCATCCTCCGGAACCACTACGCCCTGGCGGTGCTGATTCTCATCCATCGGCATGACTTTTACCAGAGGGATCAGCACAAGGGCGAGAGCATTGGAGAGTTCATAGCCGACCTGAGGGACCTAGGAGGCTTGTGCAGATTCGCCAATCTAGATGAGGCCATGCGTGACCAAGTTGTCCTCGGCCTGAAAGACCCAACTCTCCAAAGCAGACTGATGGCTAAAGGAGACATCTCTCTCGCCGATGCCGTAGCCGAAGCCACCCGTAAGTCAGCGGCGTGAATGCAGCGTTCAAACGGAAATGACCGCCAACCCACCAGCGAGACGGCAACCACAGCAGACAAACATGCAGCATCCACCCACCACGGTGACATCGAATCCCCCTCTGACAGCGAAGAGGAAGAAATTCACAGACTTCAGTTGGAACGCAAGCGACAAGACCGGCGCGGTCGTAAGTCGAGTTACCAATGTGCCGGCTGCAGAGGAAATCACCCGCGTTCTGAATGCAAGTTCCTGGATGCTGTTTGCCGTTTTTGCGAAAAACAAGGGCATATTGCCAAAGTATGCCATAACAAATGAAATTCCAGCCCCCGACGACGGGGAAACAGCCCAAGAAGAAGATATGGCACCCCCACCATAAACTGGGACCGCCATAATGACAGCCGATGGAACCGGGACAGCCAACCCAGGAAGTTCATCGAGGTGCCCAGAAGAGAAGAAACGTACCAAACAGTCACCATCGGCCACGCTTCATCAATAGATGCACGGAAAATACGTGTAGAGGTCAACATCGAGAATCAGCCTTGCACCATGGAGGTAGACTCCGGTTTCTCCCTCTCTATGGTCTCCTGGAGGACCATCAAAAGACTAATTCCCAGCATCCGCCGCCAAGAGCTTAGCGACCAGAAGCTAATATTAAGAGACTATCAAGGTAATCGCATTCCGGTCGTTGGCACAGGACATTTTCAAGTCTCGTTCAGAAACCACACCACCATCCTACCACTCACAATCGTCGATAAAGACAGACCCAGCCTACTCGGGTTGCAGTGGTTCGCACCGTTGGGGATCGAGATGGCAGGCATCAACCACACAGAAGACGGAAACTGGGAAGCAACGCTCATCCAGGACTTCCAAGAAGTCTTCAGTGAACATCTAGGCAAGTACAAGGGGTCCCCTATCTCCTTTAATCTCAGCCCTGACATCACTCCCATCTGTCTCAAGCCATGCCAAGTGCCTTTTGCACTCAAGCCTAAAATAGATGAACAATTAGACAAACTAATAGCGCAAGGCATGTTAGAACCCATCGATCATGCCCATTGGGAGACCCCAGTTGTCACCCCCATCAAACCCAATGGCACCCTGAGAATTTGTGGTGACTACAAGGCCACCCTCAACCACGCATTGCAACAGAGCGCCTACCCGGTGCCAGTAGTCCAACATCTCCTGCACTCACTAGGGGGTGGCAAGATCTTTGCAAAGCTCGACCTGGCTCAAGCTTATCAACAACTGCCAGTCGATGCTGAAACCGCCGAAGCCCAAACAATAGTGACACATAGAGGGGCGTTCAAATGTAACCGGCTCCAGTTTGGGGTCAGCGTCGCACCAGGCATTTTTCAAAGTCTAATGGAGAGATTGTTGCAGGAAATTAAAGGAGTCGTGCCGACGTTCTGGTAGCAGCCCCTACCAAAAAACAATTGGAAAAATGACTGAGGGCAGTCCTACAGAAATTCAAAGATGCTGGCCTCAAGGTGAAAAAGGGAAAGTGCCAATTATGCACTGAAAGGGTTGAATTTCTTGGCTACCTCCTTGACAAACAAGGAATTCACCCCACAGATAAAAAATTGAAAGCCATCAAAAACGCCCCCAGACCAAAGAACAAAAACGGACCTCCAAGCCTGTGTTCACTGCCTGAGTGCCCCGAGCCATCCGGCTTCGGGGCT